AAAAAAAAAAAAATATCATGAAGCGTTGGATATTTTGGATTTGAAGTTGATTGATGTGAAGAAAAAAACTGATCTAATTAGACATGATATTAATCAGGTAATGTATAATAGTCTAAAGCAATCTAGATTTGTTTTAATGTTTCCGTTATTGCTTTAGAAAAGATCCAAGTTGAATAATTTATTTGAAAAATGGAGTGACTTACGGTCAAAGATCAGCTCTGCAATGAGCAGGGATTTGAATACCGCTAAAGTGAGATAAATCACTTGCTAGTTATTTTCACGTCTAAATCAATTACAATGAAACGTTATATATTATTGTACAGTCTTTGTCAGTGCTAGAAAATCGATCTCATCAAGTCGATATGAGCAGAATGGAAGCTTCGCATGTGACACGCAAGTATAGATCAATAAGAAATCAATTGCTGGATGATTCTGTTTTGTTTGATTCAATTTTAGATAAGTTAGAAAAATCTATAGCAAATCAACAAAAAGAAATACATAGGCTCGAAGTATTATAACTATTTTATTATTATTATTATCGCGGCTATTGATTTATGTCAATGACATTTTAAATATTTTTTAAGTAGAAAATCAATGAGGAAGCTGTTCAAGCAAGAGACAAAACTAGAAATACATTACAAAAGAAAGAAATAAATGCAACCAACATCGCAAAGTTCCGTATGCGACAAGTCGAACAAATAAGGTAAACATAAAAATTATTTTAACTACCCTAAAATAAAAAAAAATGACACAATTAATTTTAGGGCTAAAGTAGAAGAGAGGAAATTAGAGTTAGAAAGATTAGAAAGAAAAATTTTCCCTCCTGGTCAAAAATTATCTCGTCATGATTCAATTCATAGTTCTTGCGATGAACAACGTTTGGTTGGTAATGAATCATCAGATAATCAAGAAGTATCAGATTCTACCTATATAAGATTAAAACAAATTACTGGTATTATATAAAATAAGAGTGAATGAAAATGAGTTATCTGCAAATGTAATTAACCTAAAAAATTGTAAAATAAACATTTTTAATAAATTAGGTTCAATCGATTCTGAAGATATACGGAAAAAATTTGTATCTCAGAAGGAAACTAAAGAACGACTTTCTGCTTTAAAATTTAATACAGAAAAAGAAAAACAATCTCTTCAAATAACATATCAGAAACTTAGTGAAGAGTTTGAACAATGTAGATTCTCAAATGCTCAAGAAAAAGAACAGTAAGTTTCTTAAATAATAAAATATTTCTATGAGTTAATCAAATAATATATTACAAAATTTTATATTATATTTTGATTCTAATAAAAATAATATAAATTATATCATTTTAAAAAACATGGAAGTAAATTAGAAAAATAATTATTATAAATATAAAATAAAAAACTCTGTTATTAGATTTTACGATTCAATATCTTATAATTTAATTTAAAAATATATACGAAAATACAGAAAGAATAATATTAATAAGAATATTAATTTTGATATAAATTTAAATTCATTATTTTTACCAGTT